CGTATGTTTATACTATTTATACAGTACATACGACACAGCACGCACGTAAACTACACAACTAACAATAAGAACATACAACCAAGAGAAATAATCGACATAGTCTACCATCCGGAAGAAAAAACAAGATGACCCAATGTTGGTTCACGATTTTATATATTTATATATATATATATATGTCCAACCCTCAGTAAATTACTTCTTTCCAAGCTGTTTCAAAATCCAAGTAGTTATTTCTAACTTCCAACCGCAAACGCTTGTGTTCGTTTCTCGTGATCCCATCATAAGACGCTATATGGTCGCTATATTGACAGAGTCGTTCAATAACCATCTGGCTAAGTAACTAAATCCTTACTTTCTCGTATCAATAATATTATATGACACAAGTTTCCTCGTTATGTGTTATGAATTACATTGTCATTGCCTGCTATATGCGTAAATGTGTACCCTCGTGCATGTAGCACGACTGGGGGAAAAGAATATATATAGGATATTGGTGGAAAAGCCAGAAGGAAAGTACTACTGGGAAGATCAAGACGTAGTTGGGTGGGCAATTTTTAAAATGGAGCTTAGAGAAATAGAATGGAATGATTTGGATTGAATTGATCTGGTTAAGGATAGGGATCAGTGGATGGCTCTTGTGAACACTGTTATGAACCTCAGGATTCCATAAAACTCCGGGAAGTTCGCAAGAAACTCTACAATTGGCGGCTTCTCAAGAAGGGCTTAATTCCATGCTCATGTTCCATGCTCCATTCATTCAAGTGAATGAATCGGTGGTCTTCTTACGTATGAGAAAATATAGTTTGTTAGGAAAGTATCAACTTCTCTTGAGAACATAATCTGTCCATTGTCACGCTTAGTATTTTAACCTTAAAAATGACACAGTAGGATCCTCCGAAATGTTGGTATGAACCTACATGCTGATAGAGTTCATAAATCCATTATATTGTAGCGTGTTACCTGGTAACCTACTTCTGTCTCGTAGGTAACGCGACTAATACTTTCACGTGGGTCTCCGGTTCAGATAGCTTCCTCTCTGCCGTGAGCTCATGTCTCACTCCCAGTGTACGTTGTTCGCTGCAAATAAAACTTTTCTAAATGTGGCATTATATTAATGTTACAGGGATGAGATTCGCGCTACTGGAGACCAAAGTAGGCCTGGTGTCACTCTTGTCCAAATACAGTTTCCATGTTTCCAACAAGACATCGGTGCCCTTAAAACTTGATACCAGAAGCATCATCACATCAGCTGCTGGTGGAGTGTGGCTCAAGATTAGAAATCGGTTCTGAAATAAGCAATTTATTCGATGAACATACAAAAAAATAATCGAAATTGAGTTTCATACTATTTCCAATAATTCTGTACTTCCTACGAGTAAAGCTTAGGAAATTAAGATTGCTCCTCGTGAGAGTACAACTATAAGTTGGTGTATAGGTGAAGTGGTAGTAAATTCCATATATTTTATATGAGTGAGCCTTATCGAAGTTGAGTAGACACTTAAAAGCTCTAACAGCACTACCCTCGACATATTTTCTTTTAACGTTGCAGGAAAATTTGTTAACTGACACCCCAACATAACATAATTGTGAAGTCAACTTCAGCATATAACATAATAAAATATGTCGTTACAGGTACGAATGTAGCTTATGGGACAATAGCTTCCTTTAAGCATGATCTTTCTAAATGTGTTCATATCAGACATAATTGAATGATGCATGAAATCAGATGAATGCCTAACCAATTAACTTACGCCAAGGAGGACATTCTTCCCAAAGGGACGAGGCCTGAAATATGAGCCATGTCTAGGAAACTTGAAGACTTTATGTGAAGCCCTTGGACAAGCTCATGATTTGAAGGCAGTGAAGAAAAGTGTCGGGTTTTCGACTGGGTTGCGGAAAGTGGGTGACTGGCCATTGTGGAGGGGTTGGACCGCTCCGAATCGAAAGAAGAGAAGTCCAAAGCACAGGCCTCGGAAAAGAACAAAGATGATGGTGTACACCTGGACCGGCTCGCAGCTTATAAGGGAATTGCTCGGGATGAGCGGCCTTAAGAAGGGAGCAGCGGGAAGAGTTAAAGCAATCTCTGCTAGAACAGAGGCACGCGAAAGGAAAGAGATACCGATAACAGACCTCAAAAGGGCAGCCCTTGGAAAAGAAGAAAAGGCTGCACGCCTGGATGTTATTCGGGACTAATAGCCATAAGGAGGCAGTAATGTAGACCAATTGCTAGCTAACGACGAGGAACTAACTGCTGTACAAGATACATTATTGAGCAACACTTCGAAAACAAGCACGTTAGACCGGCAAAGATTGGAAACAGCAACAGAAAAACGGTGTTCTGTATGCGGTGATTACCGACTAGTTTTAAGTAGGACAGTTAGGGTTAGGTATTTGACAGCTAAGAGTACGAACAAGGAGTTAGCTGTTAGATAGTGACCAGCCTGTAAGAACATGAGCATTGAAGGAAAGGATATTGTTGAGACTTCTCACCAGGCAGAGACTGGTGAAGACATAGCAAGGTGAGGAAACTTTATCTACCCTCTGATTACAGTGTCTTTGGAGTCATAAATGGCATAGATATTTGTAGTTATGTTCTGAAAGAGTTAAATGAGTCAATCACAATGATCGCGCGTGCATAAGTCACGAATCGTATTAGCCTGCTCGAAAACTGGGGCCGTGGTTTCAAATCCCATTCAAGGCGTGGATGTCTCTCTTCGTTTAGTCTGTATTTGTGTTGTTCTGTGTGTGCGGGCTTGCGACCGGCTGATCCCCAGTCCAAGGTTAATACCAACTGTGTATAGACTAAGAGAATGAAAAGCGGCCAAAGTCCACAAAGAGCGTACAACCATAGGTTGATGGGTGGACGGACAGACAGACAGACAGACAGACAGACAGACAGACAGACAGACAGACAGATAGACAGATAGATAGATAGATAGATGATAGATAGATAGATAGATAGATAGATAGATAGATAGATAGATAGATAGATAGATAGATAGATAGATAGATAGATAGATAGATAGATAGATAGATAGATAGGTTTCAATAAATCACATTACGAATCCAAACCCCGCCTATGCTCACTCAATCACGTGACAATATCAGTTTCCAGCAAGTGGGCATCCTGTGCTCGAATATCCAGATTGGGCGTATGGCGCCTTCTCAGAGCAAGAATGCTATAATCTTCTCTCTCACACAATATACATTACCTCATTAAGTAGTTAATATTATTTTTGATATATTTGCTTAATTACAATGAGCTTTTACACCTTGCAACAGTAACAAAGATTTCAAAAGTGATCGAAGTACAAACTCCTAGTTATTTCATTTCAACCTCAAGTTACTTTGTGTGTGCGTGAGATTTGTTACCTAACTGCAGCTAACTAACTAACTAACTAAAGTATTAGCCTCGTGGAGTAGAGTCAACTCTTTAACTCTTTTAAGAAGCTCACTGATTCGTTATATTCAAGAGATTCACCACTGAGTCCTGTCCTCAACCAGCGAAATCCAGTCCACATCCTTAGATAATGTACCAATTTTAATTTTATCCGTCCCTCTGCTCTTTTGACTAACGAATTGATTCTTCATTTGTTCTCACCTAATAAATCGTATTACCTATACATTCTACGAGTTTTGTCCATCTTATTTCCTTTGAAATAAATCCGTGTTTCTAAAGCTAAATAGCATTTACAATAAAGGTACCGGTTTTAATAATATGCTGACCTATACAAAACAATGTGATTAGAATAGACAAGAGAGAAATACAGATTTTCAAACTGTTGCTTCTGTATTGTACCAAAACATTTAACTGCTTCATTTTGTAAATAAAAATTGTTGGTGTCTCTGAGCGTTATAATATAAATATCTCTCATGAAAGCAGGAAGTCTGTTGCAATTGACCGCAGTAAAAGTAATAGTATTTTGTACCGAGTCGTTCTATCTTCTGGTATATAACGACTTGCACTCCTTTGCAAGTGAATGACGCTTATGAAGAACACGCCACTTGAAACTAAAGGCGAAGGATGAGCCAAGTATTAAACCACCATGAGGCAGGCAGCAAGCAACAATTGAATACACGACGTTCTATTCCACTAGACAATAATCTCCTTAACCTCATACCCTACAGAATTCTTATTCATCGTAGTCAGTTAAAGTAAAAACAATTATTTCTTAAAATAAAATTTTGCCTCATGTTGAGTAATAATGCTTCGTATTCGGGAGGGGCGCCCTTAACAACTCGGCCTGGAGATCTCATATTCTCATTTTCCTCAGTAGCTACAGCAGAATACAAAACAAAAATTCCGCTTTCACAAATTTTCTAATTCATTTTATCATGGCGTGAAATTTCAAGTTCTCACTTTAGTGATTATAAAATTCTCAATCTACGGGGCAAAACGTGAAGGCAGCACTTTTTTAAGAAACAATGTTACACATTTACCACATTTACCACATTTACCATTATTGCATCGCCTAAGTTCACTACATCAGAATTTTCTCCTACCATTCGACTCTATATCATCCGAGCCGTTAGAAACACCTTTACATAAATCACGAATAAGGAAGGCCGTCCGTGCCTGATCAGCTTGTAGAATTCGTATTTTCCTGCTGTCTAAGCAAATATCTTACAGACTGAACCAAATATCACCTACAGGAAATACAAAGATCATCCGATCAGTCAATCCAGCTACGACCTCTCTCCCATCTGAAGCAAATTAGAACTCTTCCCAGTGGAAATCGAGTGTTTCTTGTGTTGGTACCATACGGAAAAATCGTCTCTCCAGTTATGACTTCTGTCTTGAGAGTTCTCTGGTGCAAGATCTCAGAGGTGTAGTGCTTTTAATGTTTTAACATTTAGTCTTAGCTCTCGTAGATGATCTGTGTTGTGCTTGGCTTGTATACTCTCTCGAGTGTTGGTACATGTGTCCGGAAAAAGGGACTAGCTCTATCGATTTGGCTCAAATGAGTAGGTTTTACTTGCAGACGGAGGGAGATACTAGACACTGATTCCTGGTGTTTTTAAATAGAAAGAGGACGTTGATTTAAATAAAACAAGACGATGGATAACGTCCAGAAATATAATATTTACCTCCCAAATTGATTTACTCCGTATTATGGAGTGTCACTGGTACTAATAATCTTAATACTATACTCTCTGGGGGGAGGACTCAGAAAGATAATGTCCTGGCAAACGTCGGGACAATGCAACTAAATAGGCCACTTCCGCTTCCTTCCATATTCCTTCAGACTTATCATTCACTAGCTGCTTCTCCATACTCACCCAGTAAGAGTATCGTGGGGTAAACCACAGATGACTACAGAATTCTCGAGGCATTGCAGCTGTGAACACAAAAACGAAGTAAATTAAATTTTACTGAAATATATTAATATCAATAAAATTATAATGGTTTAATCACTTTTATTGTTTCAGGCAACCATTACAAATTCTTGTCGCAAGAGTTATCATTCATGTGGCTTTTAATTAAATAAATATAATGAATAATTTTGTAATTGAAAAGTAAATGTATGGATTTTTAAAATATCGTAGTACACTTTTATGTTAAGTTGGACTTACACACGTGACCAACGAGATTCGAACCCAAGACACGTCACAATTTGGTGTCAGAAGTGTTTTACGAACTTGAACACGCCACAAACTAATTGAGTTTACCGAAAAATGGATTCACAGCAGATGATCGAACTCCTGCTAAAGAAAATCAGCGATGGCCAAGAAAAAACAGATATCATGCTAGCCAACCAGGCGAAATTAGACGCCGATAGAAAAACCGACAAAGGAGAAATGCTGGCACGAATGGACGCCAACATGAAATCCTACCAAGAAAGGATGGAAGCCAATAGAAAAAAAAGACAGAGAAGATTTCCTGGCCAAATTAGACTCCTGTCAAGAAAAGGCGGAGATCAGCCACAAGGAACTCCTAGCCAGAATGGACGCCGACTCGAAAGCCTGGCGAGAAGAAATGGCCACCTGGCGAGAAAAGACTGCCGCGGAGATGAGAGCAACCCAAGCAAGGACGGCACAAGAAGAAGAGGTCCCCGAAATAATACCGGTCGGAGAGACGATGGCCTGCCAAGAGATGGAGGCACGTCTAGAAGAAGAGGAGCCAGCCTCAGTGGACATGACATCTGAAGCCGCAAAACAGCGAGAGGTACCCGTAAAAGACGCCGAAGTAATACCGGTCGGAGAACCGAAGACGAAAAGCGTAGGGACCGAAAGCGACGAATTATGAAGAACCCGACACGGAAAAATTGCGGACCCCAAAATA